GGATATAGTATTAATAAAACTCTAGTGAGTTTATTTCCGGTTTCGTTTCCTCTAAGTTACTTTTTAGAAGTTTGGAGTTTGAGTTTGATAAATTCGTATTGTTCTCTTTTCTGGGGATGAGAGTATAGTGGATGAGATTAGTGAAGCATTTTTATATCTATCTATGAGTATATAGTTTATTGTTTATGTTGTATTGAAAGATATTCTTTGGGGTTAGAGAATTGGAGAATCCTTTTTCCTCTTCTTTAGATCTTGAGGGTCGATTTTGATTTTATAGGTCTTTCTTGTTTTATCTGAAGAATCTGAATCTGTTGGAGAAAGTATCGCATCGAGAGGTTTGAGAGGAGAGGGTGTATGTTGTAAGAGTAGTTTTCTTTTCTTTTCTTTTATACTAGATTGAGTTATATCTATAAAAAATATCTAGTTTTACTTATTATATTGATATTATATCTTAGAGTCTGATAGGAATCGATAGTTTCGAGGTATTAGGTTTTCGGTAATAAATCCATATAGTAATATTTCATGTATTAGTTGATTGATACCTTTAGAATCTAGTCCACTGGTGGTCTAGAGTAGCTGGAATATATCCTCCCTCTATTATAGAATCTAAGGGGCATGAGAGTAAACCATCTGTTAATCTTCTAGTATGAGAGTAACTTGTCGTTTTATATATTATAAAGAGATCTTCCTTTATACTAAGTTAGATTATACAATTGTATAGTCTGTACATTATATTTCTCTTGAAGAAAAGGTTTAGTGCTAATGAGGGAGAGTCTGAGGAGAGAGCGGAGGAGTGATAGACTCAAGTTGTGCATAGATAATTCTTCTGATATTGATATGAGAGAAATTGTAGTATACTTCTCTGTTGATGTTGCGGCTAGGATGACAGGGAACCTCGCTCTCTTCTTTCTTGTGAATGAGGGATGGGGTTCTAGGAAGAGGAAGGGAGTTGGAGAAAAAGAGAGAGAGAGAGAGAGAGAGATTCTATAAGATAATGTTCTCTATTCTACCTTTATTTCTTGTTCTGCTCTTTTTTTCCCCCTTAGATTTCCTCTATTTTCACATCGATTTTTTTTAAAAGAGGAAAGGAGGGTGGGCCATGGCCTAATATGGGATTTCTCTTTGTGTCGACACTCAGCTGAAGGACTCTAAAACTCGCCTGCGGTCGTATACCTCGGATTATCGAGGGGGAGAGTGAAAGCTTCTCTGTATCTTCGTGTTAGAGAGTTCAAAAATAATTGTGTGATGATGCTGTTTCATATGATTGTATCTAGTATCAGCCCTTACAGCATCCTTAAATCGATGATGTTCTCACAGGTTTCAAAAGACGTATAGTAAGGTAGTTGGTAGGTGGTAACTTTTCTGTGAGTGAGTATTATATATGGTCTGAACGTAGATGAGATTATTGTAGGTAGGGAAGCTATGAGGTGTTCTTGTCGTCTCGTCGTAGAAGTGTTTGGAAATTTGGAGGGCAGAAGATTTTGGGGGCGACTAAGCTCTGTTTCGTCTCGAGATTATGTGCTTGAGACTGGGTAGGTGCTTATTGGATAATAGATGTAGTCATGACTCAAGAAATTGAATAGGCTGGAGTTTGTTATTCGTCATTGCGATTGCAGTTGTTTTGTTCTTCGGGGTTTTAATCGCGAATTCTCTCTCCAATTTGATAAGATGAAGATGGTCATATTGAGTAAGCGCTTAGATTACGTGGATATTCTTCTGTGACTTGGGTGTGTTGGCAGACTTCAATTATTGTTGATATTCTTTGGTTGTGGTTATCTTACTCGCCATGTGAAAATGGTGTAAAAGATCGATAAAACGAAGTTTTGATATTTTAGTATGACTTTGTCGCAATTTGTTTGATCGTGTACTTCACGATTGGTGTTGGATGATCGTGGGGGCTAGGCAAGTCCTGCAGTCAGCATTTTTGTCGCGTGCTGAAACGTGGGCATTGCACAATGCGATTGGAGTTCGAGTCGCTTGTTTTTGGTAATGCAACCACTATAATTCAAAACTTGTGACAACTCCCTGGTATGAGGCTCAATAATGAATATATTATTGCTGTCACACCCGCTTGTCGCCGCTTGGCAATCAGAAGCATTGTTTTGAACATTCCTCACTTGCAGAGATGGACCCTGAGTTCTATATTCCTGAAAGTATGTTTGAAATCTAGAGCTTTTTTGTTAGCAGGATATACTAATTCGATCATAGAAGCCGAGAAGTGCTGGGCTGGAGATCCGTACATGCTTGAAAAAGCAAAATCATACGGAATTCAAGCTAGGAAGCTTGGTGATCGCCTTCGATGGTCAACTGTGGGAAATCATGCCTGGATGGACAATGAAATACCTCGCTGTGTCCCTAGAGTTTGCCTTTTCGAGTTAGAAGGAAGCTCTTTGCAATCAAAAAATCAGCCACAGCACTTTCAATCCGCTCGCGACCTCCGCTTTTATTTTATGAATTCTCGCGTCGACCAAAGCAGCTCGGAGACGCAAAAGAGGCTAATCATTTTGGAGGATATTGATCCAAGATTCGCAGAATTACTTGGAGTTATGCTTGAAATCCCCCCCGCGTTTTTCATATCTCACTACCACAGAGATATTAACCTGAGACTATTGGACAGAACATATGCCCAAACTAAAAATTCGAAATGCTGGAAGACCGCAATTCCAAGGTGTTCGACTTTAGATCTCTTAAAAGACGATCATGAGGATTATGAGGGCGATTATAACCTGTTTGCTGGAAACTTTTTCCGCAGACCAATTTTGAATGAAGAGATGGGAGGCATTCTTCATTTTCATAGTGTGATGTCATACTGGGGACAGCAGCTTGGTGACAGCTCGTGGACTAGTAAGTCACATCAAATCTTGGGTGACCTGAATCAATGGTTGACGGGTCATTCTTAGCGGTTCTTCTTGTTGATTCACCAAAAACCTACCTTCTACCCGCAAAGGCTCATTTACAAGACCCTGCTCAAAACGCAATCCATCTCGTCAATACTAGACCTAAGAACCCTTGGTATCAGCAAGTTTTGTTGGATCCACCCAATTCCTACACTATCGCGTCGAATCGTGGATGTATGTATGATTTCCTTACAGCAGCACATAAGGGATCTGGCTATGAATACTCGGAAAACCCATTTTCAGCAACGGTATATGCACGCAATTTCGTACGCGCAGCGTGGGAAGTCAACGTAGCTCGTTTAAGTCATTCTTCTTATTTCTTTGTGTACGCTAGCCGGGAAAATGACGGGTCGATTGAGGACATACAGCTCCACGACCGTAGGGTTGTTGAAGGATATCAAGATTTGATTTTTGAAAGAACAAAGATCCGTTACGCTAGAAAATGCGTTGTGCAAATTGTGTCTGCATTTCAGTGTGGACGGGTCTCTCCTTCTCATTTTTCCAGCGGCAGGTGTCAGACAGAAAAAGCTAGTAACACAGAAGAGCTTGAAGAAGAGAGTAACATTTGGAGATTACTGGACAAAGATCTCGAGATCGTTGAGATACAGATCAATCAGCATATGGAGGAGTACGCTCAACGTGCTGCATTAAACGAAGCGCACGCAAATAGACTTCAGACATTCGAGGCTAACAAACAAACGATGGCTGCTAATAGACAGGCGCGAAGTGCTGGTCAATTGACTAAAATCGCGACAGCTGTGGTTCCCTCGACTGTCGTGGCATCTATCTTCTCCATGGGCGGAGACTTCGCTGCAGGTGAAAAGCTCTTTCTGGTTTACTGGGCAATTTCTTTGCCAGTAACTCTAGCACTACTTATTTGGGTGTTGCATGAGGATATCTCAAAAGCTTGGTCGAAGTTGACAGTCCGTAGAAGATCTAAAGAATATGGATCCGATGACTCGGAATCTGAAACTAGCGACAGTGAATCAGACTACACCAGCTCGGAATCTGGAACTAGCGAACGTGGTTCAGAGTATGTAAACTCAGAATCTGAGATTAGCAACCGTGAATCAGACGACAAAGGTTCAAAAAGAAATTGGTTGAGATTTTTGAGGAGACAAAGAAAAGGTGCTACAGTCGACGAGGAGAAAGCGACAGAGTCGCGTTCGATTAGGGGAAGATCATTCCAAACAGCAAGATCAGACTCAATTATTCCGGCAGACAACATGTCTTTCGAAATAAGAAGGCAAAATACAATTAGATCGGAAGATGGGTCTTTTAAAACAGCAAAGACCAATTCACTTGCTGTAAGAGAAGGATCTTCTATTGTCTCGAAAGATCATAAGACGAAGAAAAGAAATACCCTCTAATATAATCAAAGGGTAGCGACGAGATTAAATTTTATTGCTTCAGCAGATGATCTTCTGCTGGTTCGGTGTAGCGATGATTTTATAGTGCTTAATTTGGCGTTCGGCTGGTCTGCCGTTGGGGGTTTCTGGTAATCGTGTCGGGCATGGAGACGGCGGAATCATTTTGTTTTGCACAGAGAAACAGGCTTTTAGTTTCCTTTCTTTTTCTCGTCATGATTGCATTTCAATCGATGAGTGATTAGTAATTGATATCTAGGTACATCCAATGAAACCAGAAACCAAAACTTGAATTAACTGTCATATTGTGGCATTCCCTCGTCTGCATTGACAGGATCATCATTTCTCCCATTGTATTCAGCTATTGATATTTCGCAAGTGACAATGGAAGACAAATCAGCAATTCAAGACTGGTGCAATACCCCTGTAGACAATTTATGTTCTCCGGCGTCCTACCCAGCTAATAAGATGAGAGATAGAGCATGGAAACTTCTGCGTTGAACCAAATTCGGAGGATCGGAGTGATGATACGTTACAATATGATGTGCAAGTGAGAATAGGATGAGGATGATGATGAGATCATCAGTCTTTTCGCTAAATTTAAAAATGAGTTTGGAGAACTCATGTAGCCTAAGCTCTCTACAGCCTAATTATGGAATAGCTTCTGAAGACTATACTATGGCATTATTGCAGTAGCACTAGGGAATTCTTCTCGGCTATTAGGTCAATCAGATATATTCATGAATCAAACTCCCTCAATGTAACAAGAAAACACACTTAACATGGCCTCAAAAGCAATCCAAGTCCACAATCCATGCTTCTTTAATTTCTTACTTTCGAACAACAATACGAATACCTTTACTCCCCTTCTTAGGATACGGAACAAATCTATCAGCGGCCATCTCAACATCCGTCTTATCTGTCTGGTAGAGTTCCAACCAACCCTCATCTCCTTTATCCTCTTTACATCCAAATTTTCGCCACAGAGATGCAAGCATGAGATATAATTCAGCATATGCAAGTTGCATACCAAGACATTGTCTCGAACCGTGCGAAAATGACATAAGATTGCGTCTTAGGCTTGGATCTTCGATGAATCGATCTGGGTTGAAAACGAGAGGGTCGTGGAATATTTTTGGATTGAGGTGGATTAAAGGGGTGGCCATACCTACGTTAGTCTGGTTGTGTCAATGAATTATCAAATCTCTGGGCTTGAATGACTCACACCGGGGGGAATAAGCCAGACTTTCTTCCCATCGTCATATTTCATAATTTGGTCAGGTGCGTTTCTTGTTTGTCGATTGCTGGTACCCATTGCTATTCTAAGACCCTCTTGAATTACTGCACTCAAATACGGAAGTTGTTCCATCTCTTTGAGAATCGGTTCAATTGAAGGATCAGGAAGGGCGGCGTTTAACTCGGCTCGTAATTTTTTCAAAAGTTTCGGATTGGACAATAAGTAGAAAGTTAACGCCTGGTATGCTTGTTAGGAACGTGTAGGACATTTTGCATTATCCAAGAATTCTTACGCTCAAAGTCAATGAAGTTGTTTCCGTTCCAGCAATCGATATATTTCGAGCCTCATCAAGAAGTCTTGATCGTTGTTTTTCAATTTCGGGAATTTTGCTGGCGGTAATTTCGTCGAACAATGTCTTGACTTCCTTTCCTTCCTGATGAGAAGCTGCCTTGGCTCTATTGGTTTTATCTATATTGGACAGCAGTTCCTATAGGGCTTAGTAGGAATTGCATTGCAGTTCTTTCGTATGTTCACGTACTTGCTTGAATTCAAGGAATTTGTTTCCCCCAGGGTTCATACTCTGGCGCAAGGTCTTTGGAATGGCATTTATCATAGGAATAAACCATGAGAACTGCACCGCCAACGGACCAAATTTATGGAAGCCATCCATCTAATCCCAGTTAGAATGCAAGTTCGCAGCTCTATAAATTCGACCAACTCACCATATGATAAAATGCGGCATTGAAATTCGGCGCCCCCAACCAATTTGGATTAAACCCAAACGCATATTCCGAAATAAGATCATTAGTGAAAGCTCCAAACATCGGCAAACAATTAATCGGTTCTCCCGTCTCCTGGAATTGTCGAAGCCTCACAAGCAATTTCTCAATATTCAAATTCATCATCGGTTCAATTCTCCGAATCGACTCTTTGGAGAAAAACTTCGACATAGCGCCCCGTCTCATTCGATGTAAATCATGATCTATCGTTGCAGCGCTCGCTTTCACAAGCCCAAACATCTGCATTAATCGTACGCATTTATTGCGGCGACGACCACCTGCTGGCATCAATTCGGGGACGAATGAGGGATCGTTAACGTGGAGTTCATCAGGGGTTACCCGTACGATGGATCCGTATTTTTCGTGCATTTCTTTGATTTTGAAAATATATCGGCCCGCCGTGGAAAAAGTCATAGTAGAACTCGTACCAGAGGGTTATGGCTGCAAGTTTGGGACCGGGAAATGATGCGAGTGGATGGAAAGTGATTCGATACAGGTAGAGAAGGACGATATAGAAGAGAGTGGTAACGCAAAGACTTATCCACATGGAACTCATGGCGATATGGATGATATCCATTTTTACCGGATCGAGCATAGGTATTTCGAGTTTTACGGATATGCTATTCTTGAAGCAGCAGAGGCAGTGTTATCTTAATTTGTTTCTCAAGATGTCAATGTATATCTCCCATGGATATGACAAAGTGGACTGGATTTCGACCTTTCCGCCATGATTGTACCATCAACACGTCGCAGTGTTGTACATGCCAGATGGCTACTCTACGTGATCAGAGATTTTGTAGATATTTTGGAGTTTTTGGGAAACGTCGGAATCCTCGTTTGGCAATCTTGTCACTACTCTGAGTAACGTGTCTTAAAAGTGTAACGCAGAAGCTTATTAATTATGTTGTGTTTTTCAGTCTCTTGTTACGTGAGCTTAGACATCCTAACAAAAGTTTCACTGAAATACCAAAGTCATCGGATTCTTCTCAAGTATATATCACCAGTAGAATCATTTTCATGAAGGTCAGTTGCAAAACATCTCAATTGACACAGAGACATCAATCACAATGACAGAGAAATCACTCGAATCTCTCGCTTCCTCTATAAAACTGTTAGCGTCCGAGGTTCAGAATGCGCGAGAAAAGGGCAGTGAAGATATAGAGGCATTCGAAAAACTTATCGATACATTAGATGATATGCGAGCAGATCTCGTAGGTCCTATGCGATGGCCCGGAACACTTTTCGCCCCTCCAGACTTCGCAGCTCTTCAGACTGCCTTTCTCCACGATGTCTTTCAACATGTTCCAACCAATGGGAAAGATACTGCGAGCGCTTCGATACATGTCAAAGATTTATCTAGATCTGTTAAAATACCTGCAGATACCCTACTTCGTATCATGCGTCTTCTTGCCGCCAATAAAATATTTCTAGAAATTGACGAAAAGGTATTCTGTCATACTCCTTTATCAGCAGGTATGGTAGATGAAATGGTTTCTGCTCGTTTAGGGAGTTTTTTCAATGGTGTTTTCAAGGCATCCTCGAGTCTTTCGGATGCTATTGATGCGGGGAAGAGAAGTGCTTGGGAAGTTAGATTCGGAATGCCCATGTACGAATATTTTGAGAAGATTCCCAAGTCTGATAGAGAACGTATGGCCAAATCAATGGCCATTTCTTCAATTGAAGAGATTGAAGACCTTTCAGTCATCTTTCCATGGGAGAAGTTTAACAAGATCGTGGATATCGGCGGTAGTGCCGGACACTTGGTTGTCCATTTGGCAAAGGTATGAGCTTTCATTTCGTCTACTCGTAGACCCATAACTAACAACAATCTAGAAATTTATGCATCTCCAATGCGTCAGTCAAGATCTCCCTGAAGTAACAGCCGATCAAACTCGACGCATTGCCTCCTTATCTCCAACTGAGAAATCTCTCTACGACCGCGTCGAATTCGAATCTCACGATTACTACACCCCTCAAACACGAACCGATGCGGATGCTTTTATCCTACGCCGCTGTCTCCATAATAATCCAGATGATGACTGTATCAAGATGATCAAAGCCGTGATACCCGGTCTTGAACATAATCCCAAAGCAAGATTACTCATTAACGAGAAATTGATGCCGGTTTGGAATAGCAGTGATACGAGATACAAGACTAAGATGTTGAGGAGAGAAGATATTGCCATGATGATTAGTGTGGGTGGAAAAGAGAGGACCCTGGAAGAGTTTGCGGGGTTGATAAGGGGTGCGGATAAGAAGTTGGAGATTTCCGAGGTTTATTATGGGAAGAATTATTTTTCTGTTATTTCGGTGAGGTTGGCGAGATAGAGAATTTTAAAAATAGGAGAGGTGACTGACTAAAAGTATACCGGTACCTATATAGACTTACGTTTATAGGTAAAGTTTGTCATCAAAATTCGAGAAGTTATTTTGAAATCTTATATATACTTACATTCAGTCAGTTTCGCAAAATCTCTACCTTCTTGATTTCCAACTCATATCTGCAGGTTTCGTCCTGGGAAAATCCTTGGTAGCAAAGCATTTGTGTTCGTGATGTTAGTACTCCGTAGATCATTGTTACCAATAAATAGCCGGACATTGCACCACCTAGTGTGTCTTTCATATGTCCTCTGGACAACGATCGAAAACAAATGTAAGATACAAATTTACAAACTCCACCTCTGTTGGAAGTACGTGTTAAGCTAGTTCTAGCCTATAAAGCTAGCCCTTAATCTGGGGATCGTCCGGCCATCTAGCCTATATACCAGGGTAGCAGCCAAAAGCAATCATGGTAATTGTTCCTTGACATGTATAAAACAATCTTTTTGAGAATTCGAAGAGAGAAAAAATGCCTGTTTCTAGAATGCTTATACTGCTCGGAGAAGACTTCCATATATGCATGATGATTACCTAGTGGTTGATGAGTTGACCCTTCCCCTCACTTCAATCAGGTCTTATCCCGATACTGGGACATGTAAAATGATACGGTACGGCACAGACTTCCAGGGACTGGAATCTTACATGGCGATGCCCCACCGATCGAATACAAGTGTTTAAGAAGTTTCGTGTGCGGCACTGAATATTGTTAGAATATATTTAATTTAAAAAAGGACTTTTTTGAGAAGAATAGAAGAAAGAAAAATAGAAAACCTCTAAGCTGTCTATAACTCTTGTCGGAATCCAATTTCTAAACGGCTGGAAAATTCAAGCATTAGTTCATATATTTCATCTGATATCATTAAAAGTCTGACTATAATGTCTCACGAATTTAAAGAGCTGTATACACTTACCTATCAAAGTTGTTGGTTTTAGATGGTTCTTCTAATTTGAGCTTACGAGATTTACATACCAATTGTTGGTTCTTATTTTCAATTGTTTAGACTGCTGATATATCTTCCATTTATCTATAAAGCTACCTGTAATCTATTATTTTTCTTCGGCATTTTATCAAGACCACTGTACCGCAAAATATCATCCAACATCATGACTTCACACGCGATCAATGGAGCTGGAGCCCCTTTGCCTCAAGCGAAGACTCTTCTTGTACACATCGTTGACCATATGGCCAAAACAAAGCCGCAAGCTCTATACGCCGAGTTTCCCGCCTCGCCAGTGACTTACGATGAAGGATTTCACAAAGTCACCTATAAGGATTTTGCTAATGCTATTAATGGAGTTGCATGGTGCTTGCATGATAATCTTGGGGTGGCAAAGGAGCTTGAAACTCTAGCTTATATTGGCCCCAACAATTTTATTTATCCATCGCTCATCTTCGGAGCTGCTAAAGCCGGTTATAAGGTAAGAAGACATACAGATAAATCTTGATCTCCTGCTGAATATTTTTCTCTAGGTGCTCCTTCTATCGCCACGAAATAGCGTCGCTGCTCAACTTGATCTCATAAAGGTTACAAAATGTAAAACATTCATTACCTCTGGTCGACCATTACCATCCGTGACAGCAATTCTAGCTGCTGCCGGTTCTGCACTGCAAACACTGGAGATTCCAACTATTGAAGATCTTTTGACCCGTCCCTCAAAGCACTATCCATATGAAAAGACCTTCGATGAAGTATGCGATGAGCCATTGCTCGTCATGCACACTTCGGGGTCAACTGGCTTTCCTAAGCCCATCAGCTGGACGAATGGTTTCTGTGCAGCCTACGCAACGTCATTATCATTGAGTCCTCCAGCAGGGTTCGAAAGCATAGATAAAATGTACGAAGGAAATCGAATATTCGTTATGTTTCCTCCTTTTCATGTATGTGCTTTCCTTCTTGATGACGAATCAAATATCACGCCGACCGACTAACACGCAAATATAGGCCGCCTATATTGCGCATGTGATTGTTAATGGAATATCATTCCAAAGTTCCGTGATCCTCCCATTGCAAGCTGCAATACCTTCAGCACCGTCTCTGTCCGGGGCACTGAAAAACAATAAAATTGATGTTGCTTTCGTCGTGCCATCAATCTTGGAGGAGATTAGCAAGTCACCGGAGCTCTTAGAGCATATTTCTACCAACCTCGACACTGTAGTGTATTCTGGAGGAGATTTACCTCTTGGTTGTGGCAATATCGTGGCATCTCAAGTAAAACTCATCAATTTTTATGGAACCACTGAAGGTGCAAGTCTTCCTTTGATTTCTTCAACTGAAGAAACGACACGGGAAGATTGGAAATATCTTCATATACATCCCAACGCGGGTGTAGAATTTCGCCCCTATAACGACACAATATACGAATTATTCATTGTCCGCGAAAAGAACTTTGAGAATCATCAGCAAATCTTCAAGACATTTCCTGATCTTCAAGAATACCAGACTCGCGATTTGTTTGTCCCTCACTCCTCGAAGCCGAACCGCTGGAGTCATTATGGAAGATCTGATGATATTATCGTTCTCGTTAATGGAGAGAAAACATACCCTGTTCCTACTGAGCAACACATTCTATCTAATCACCGAGAGATAAGTGGGGTGATAGTAGCCGGCTCTCAACGTTTTCAAACCTCGCTGTTATTAGAAGTCACGAGTAAAGAGGAATTTACGCCCGCGCGTAAATTTGACCTGGTGGAGACTATATGGCCTTCGATCGAAGAGGCAAACGCAACATGCCCAACGCATGCGCGAATAGCCAGATCTCATATCCTTTTCGTTCCTTCGGATCGTCCTATGGTCAGAACACCCAAAGGTACTATCATGAGAGCAGCTACCCTGGCGCAGTACAAAGAAGAGCTTGATGCACTTTATGAAACGGCCGACCAAACTTCGATCGAGTCCAATACGACTTTAATCCCACACGTGGATCCTCATAACTTCGAGAATCTGATCTCGTATCTGGAAAATACTATCTCGACACTTACAGGCTTGACCTTTGACGACGAAGACAACTTTTTCATAAACGGTATGGATTCCTTACAAGCTTTGATATTCATACGGAACTTGAAGCGGGCCTTCAATCTTCCACAATTGGTCGTCAACGATATCTATTCAAATCCAACACTCATCTCACTCGCCCGAACTTTGCAATATTCCTTGAAACAAGAAGAGGATGTGAGCCCGCTGCTAATCGCCGAAGAAACACGCGTGAAGAATATTGAGTGTTTACTTGCGGAATATTGCAACTTAATCGATACCATTCATCCTTTGAAAAATAGTCCTATTTCATTACCTGCAATAAAAAGCGGAGGTATTCTGCTCACAGGCTCGACAGGCGGGCTAGGTTCTTATATCTTGCAAAATCTCTTGACTACAGCTACCACTGCGCATATTTACTGTCTTAATCGATCCACCGACAGCAAATCCTTGCAGATTGAAAGAAACAGGATTCGAGACCTGCTTACAGAATTTCCCAAAGATCGTGTTACATTTCTTTCAGCCGATCTTTCAAAGTCTAAGCTAGGGCTCGGGGATGAAGTCTACAATAGTCTTTTGCAAAATGTTACGCAAATTATCCACAACGCCTGGCCGGTCAATTTTCATATCAACTTATCCTCATATCATCCACACCTTCTGGGAGTTGTCAACTTGGCCAAGTTTGCGAGTGAAGCTTCGAAGTCGCCATCACTTACGTATATTTCCTCCGTCAGTGCAGTATCCAACTTTACCTCCGTCGGAGACTCAGTCAGTAGAATTCCAGAAGCAGTCATTCATGATGCCTCGGCGTCGGAGTCTATGGGTTACGGTGAGAGCAAATATCTATCAGAAAGAATCTTAGACTACGCGAGCAAGAAAATTCAACTCCAAGTTAACATTGCACGTGTTGGTCAGATAGCTGGTCCTATCCAGGGGCCATCTGTATGGAGTCGAGATGAATGGTTTCCAAGCTTGATAATTTCCTCCTCTTTTGTGGGTGCGGTGCCGGACTCTCTGGGATTGGATTTGGACAGGATTGATTGGATACCTGTCGATGCTTTATCTGAGATACTCATCGAACTTTGCCAAGTTTCACAGCATGGTGGAGAGATCGACGGCGCAAAAGTGTTCAATTTACTCAATTCATACCAGGAAGAGTGGGAAAATCTTCTACCAACAGTTATGAAAGCACTCTCTTCAGGCAGCAGTACCGAAACTGAAATTGAGAGAATAAGCTTCGAGAGCTGGATTCAGAAGGTGGAAGGGACCGCGGATCATCAATCTTTTCACAACACAGAAGAGACGAACGCAAAGGAAACGCATTTTAATCGCTTGGTAGAATTGAACCCGGCAATCAAACTAACCCATTTCTACAGAGCAGAGGAAAGAAGAAAGGAAGGTAAAAAGTGGGAAACTGGAAGAGCGCAGAAGCAGAGTGAAAAGCTCCGGAACTTGGGGAAGATCGAGAATATCTGGTTGGAAAAATGGATCAAGACGTGGATGAACAATAACTCTAACAAGGCGTAAAGAAATTGAGATGTTGGAGAATGAAGCTATCTTCTTTAAAGGATATCTCGAGACAGGAGCAAACTATGATTGGTGCTTATCACCAAAAACATACAGTCGTTTCAGCATTGCTTTCCCTGATCCTCATATCAAACTTCTGCAAATGAACTCGGTACTACCATCCGTAAGGAATTATACAAAAAACCAGAGTCTACTATAAGAAAACTTATCTGTAAATTAAGCCCTTGGAGATGGAAGTCCAGAATCGTAGTAAATGGCGAGAAGAGCGGAAACCCTCGAAATTTCAGAAAAACACGGGATCTTAAGAATGTTTTTACTCCTCAAAATGACTTGAATCCACTAAGAAGCAATTGAGAATCATTGAATTGCGGGATTCAAGTATCATTTTCTTTAATCTAGGGATGGGAACCATCAATATAACTGAAGAACCCCTCTACTTTGAAGAATTCCCCTCCCGAGTTTTCCGATGACATATTATTTACATTTACATTACCAGGACATAATGAAACGACATTTAACAAATCCTATTACTATCAACTTCCTAAAAACCAGGATTCAGCACTACGTTACACGTATCCGTTTCAATTATTATTACCACATTACCAAAAATTCCAACGCGTTCCCCTCCCTTGCTCCATCAAATTCCACACGCCTCACTTCAGGAATGCAATATTACCATCGCGATGATATAAGCCCAGGATAAATGTCCCTCCAGACGTACATGGCAAAAGGTGAATTTATTGCACATTAAGAAATCTCTGCAGATATGACTACTACAGCAGCAGCTTCAGAAATTGGCGGTATAACCGATGGGGGAGGACTTTTTCCTACGTTTGTTCCGAGTGATATTGCAGGTCAGACTGTGTTTGGTTGTCCTATTGTAGGTTTCTATTTCTCCTTCCGTTGATCTCGGCCATATGTCTTGTTCTTTTAGAAATTGTCTTGTTACTAACAGTCTTGTTGCAACGAAGTCATCTTTCATGTCCCTCGATGCCAAATGTCCCATCACCGGCAGCGGACTCCCCGCATGCGCAACACAAACTGCTAGTTTTGACGAGCCTTGCTGTGGTTCCCTAAGCGCCTTTGCGACCAGTGTTGGAGATTGTTATAGCAGCAATGCACCGGACTGTTTGAATCTAGAAGGTGGGCTATTTTCACGCGTCTTTCACATCAAACCTCAAAGCCAGATCATTAGAATCATACCCACCAAGAACATGAAAAAAGATGGAGTGACTACTAAACTGCACCCAGCTAACAAACACTAGAACTCACTCGCAGCCTAACAGCCTTCAGCGCCACAGCAACAGATCAACAAATCACCAACCCCTGCGCAGTATTCGCTTCTACAACCAGCAGTAGCAACCCTACGGAGACAGGAGGACAAGCAGCCGAGACGAGTGGATCTGGAGACTCTGTGGAATCTAGCGGTTCCGAAGAGTCCACTCCCACAGGATCTGCAACCGACAGCGCCAATACTGCTGAAAGTACAACGTCCAACTCTGGGGCTGTGAAGGAGAGAGGAAACATGGGGCTGAAAACGATTGCTATTTTGGCGTTGGTGGGAAGTTTGGGGGTTTTGTGGTTGTAAAGGGTGAGATGAACAATGGCAAGAAAAGAGAAAGAGGGGTATGGTTGATAGCTTTACCGGTATGGATGGTGTGGGTGCTCGTTATTGGTCTTTGGAATGAGGACGAAGGTTTGAGTAGAGATGAGAGTGGCGTTCGGTTTTTGGTTTGGTGGATGTTATGTATGTTGTCTTTCGGTATTGTGAGTGGATTTGGAATTTATGTTGGTGTATGTTGAATATTTTTGATGGAATGATTTCGTTTGGTTCCCTTGTTTGAAGTTCGATAGTTTATTTAGAAATATATCTTACTGGACATTTGCTGCCTGCTCCACACACGTTCGCCTCTTTCACTAGAAAGGTGTCAAATTTCTGCCCACTAATTCTTCATCCCGATGAAAAGACAACTTAATCTTGTATTGCCGCATTGATACGTGCCAACAATGGCATCTGTGTGAAACTTCTTGTATTTAAAATGACATCTAAAGATCAAAGTAATCATAAGCGAACGATGTACACACATTGTCAAAGGAGAGTCTCGCAAAAGGTCGTGTTCTACAAATCCATCATGCAGAAAGCGCAGGCAACATGTAAAATCCCAAACACCAAATCCCATATATGCACCCATTTGCCTTCCCATCCATATAGATCATCATGATCGTTATCATCTTAACTCATCAATCATCAGGGTCCAGTTGTTATCCCCACGAAGTTGTGTGTGCATCAATCAATCATCAACCTGCACAATCCTGACGCCCGCCCCTTTCTTCTCTCCCCTACCAAAACCAAAACTAGATTGGATAGAACTTTTCTTAACCTCCACTCTCATCTCCTTCCTCTTCTCGACTTCACTCACCAACTTCTTAAAATAAACTTCCGCTTGTATCGTAGCACTGTAAGCAATCGGAGTCCACTTCCACACATTTCTCATCTCTGCATTCGCACCCGCCGCCAACAATGTTCTTAGTACCAGCATATGTCCATTACTACTTGCAAAATGCAATGCCGTGTTTCCGTCCACATCAGCATTTGCAAGTACTGCTTCCGGATCTTTGTACACCGCTGCACACGTCAAGAGGATTTGTAGACAAGTATCATGACCTCCACGACTGGCATACATGATTGCATCTCGACCTCGGATATCTCTTCTGAGAATACCAGATACGGAGGGACCTTGGGAACAGAGAAGATTTACAATGTCGGTGTGGCCGGCACCAGCAGCGAGCATGAGCGCAGTTTGATGTTCTTCATTGAGTGAAATGGATAAGGATTCATGACCGAGAGAGAGAAGGAGAGATGCCACTTCTAGATGTCCGAGAGAGGAGGCTAGATGTAGAGATGTGTTTGAGAGACCGTGAGGTGAGATATCGGGATTATGAAGGAGATTGGGATGGGATTTGAGGATTCGTTTTACGAGAGATGCATCGGGTGTATGGATTGCGCGACGAAGACGGATCGTGGTTTCAATCCTATGTGTAAGATATTAGAGGTGAGCATTCGCTTGTTTGGGTTGAAGAGGGGAAGGATGTTGATGTTGTTTGTAGAATTTGTTGGTTCTTCAATCAAACAAAAGGAAATAACTTACATATTCTCAGCATATCTACTCTTTCTTTGTACCTATAAACAACAAGCACTCTGCAAATATAAACAAATCGATCCAAACCCGTTCAACACCAACTTGATGCTCTTGATGATACTTCTGATCTCTGCAGCTGCCCCGCCAACATTCAACGGTCCTCGCAGTAGTGTATGACTTCCCCATGCTTGGCGATCCATAATGCATTGATCGCTTACATAATCACGATTAGATTTGCGCGTCATAGCAACGTTCTACGGGTTCGCGGAAACTATTATTACTTTATCATAGACAACACCATACGCGCATTCAATAAATCAATTCCTCTCAATTTCATATTCCACATTCCACATTCCACATATCCAATCCAATCCAATGCCTCACCCTCGTTTCGACCCTTCTCTCGCATACCTTCCCATCAAAACTGTAGTCAGCGCATCCTTTCTCTATCCTTTCAAAGGCATCTTATATTTTCTCTCCGATCGCCAATTCTATCCTCTGTTTGGCAAACGATTGATTCCCCTCACCATAACATCCATTGTTGTTCTCGGTCTTCTATTTACTTTTACATATTTACCGCAAGTAGCTTTTCTGGCGATATGGCATGGACCAGGAGCTTGGTTTAATGCTGTTTTTCTTGTGCTCGGGGAGGGACAAGTATTGATCGCGTTATTGTTTGAAGCATTATTGGTAGATGAAACATTGGTTGACGTTTTCGATGTATGTACTTCTCTTTTCTTCAATTCGCAGGACTAACAAAATCCAAAATAGGCAACACTTATCAAAGAAGGACTCATCGATCTCGTTTCTCCTTCTCGAATGCTCAATCACGATGCCCAGAATGAAGTTAAAATGCTCGGAAAGCCAACCGCATCCGCAGTCTACTCCCCCTTTTCCTTTCGACAAATAGCGGAATTTGTTATATTCCTTCCTCTTAATTTTATACCCGTGATTGGAACACCTGCTTTCTTGGTCTTGACGGGTGCGAGAGCTGGTCCTTTACATCATTGGAGATATTTTAAATTACGGGGTTTGACGAAGAAGGAAAGAAAGAGAGAAATTGGTAGTAGGAAGTGGAAATATACTTGGTTCGTTATTCTTATATCCATATTGGAAACGAAGATATACTAATAGTAAATAGGTTTGGAACAGTTGCTTTACTATTACAACTTGTACCTGTGCTTTCGATGTTTTTCCTACTGACTTCAGCAGTTGGATCGGCATTGTGGGTGGTGAAATTGGAGGAACAAAAGAGATTGAATGCAGCGGATAGATTGGTTAATAATGCTGGGCTTCCTAATATTGGAGAATATGATGAGGAAGCGCCTCCTCCATATGCCGATGACCCTATATAGTTTTGCTATTGTTTTATACCCTGATTGATAATAAAGATCATATTTATACTGGATTCTTTTGTCCAGTCCCAGAAAGACTCCTTCTCTCAGTATGTGATTCGAACAATCTTGTCTATCCACCAGTGCTATATAAACTAAGCTTACAAGACAATCAAACTCGTCGCTTTCTAGTTCATAACAATCTAACAATCTACCCTTATCAAACACCAATTTTCCATCCCAACTAACCTACTACTTGACCCTCCATAATGCGCCCAAAACACCCTATTCATCCCCCAAGAAGAAATAAACCAAATCCCCTATCATACATCATCCAGAAATCAGAAACCCTCTCATCTCTTATCCCTTATACCACCTCTTAAATCTAGCCTCGCAAATCCAGCCTCTCAAATCCAAATCCAGTAATCTATACCCCATCCACCATTCATTCGCCATACATCATACAACCCTAACTTAACAAATCATCAATCAAGAAAGCAGACTTTAGAAATTCTAGCTAAGCTGAGAGATATATGATATCATGATTGTCTGAGTACCTTATTAGATATATAGAGAAGAGAGAGAGAAACAATACTCGGTAAACGAAAAGCGACATGTAATTAAGCGAGAGATATTATATCCTATTGAGATGAATATGCTATACTATAATGAATGTACTATGAATGTAGGGATTTGAGTATTCTTTACTGATTACATATCTATCTATGCTTTAGATACTTATCTAAATGATTTATATAATTCGTATAATAGTAATATCTAGAATTGTCATTTAGTATACCGAGCTAATAAAGAATTAATTATTAAGATAGATTATCATTTCTACTATCGTTTTTACATTACATATACTACAACCACTCGATGTATCAGTATTCTCGTCTTTGAAAAACGCATATCGAAAGAAACTCAATTAATTAGAAAGCGAAACTTTCCTTCCTGCCATCAGAAAGCTAGAATAGAAGGTTTAACACTCTAAAATATCACAGCTGGATGGAAAGCGAGCGGTCTTTGATGTAAGAATATGACTAAACCTCTTATGAGTCGACTTTTACTTGAAAACAGTAATAACGGAGTTCTATTATTCAACTCTGAGGCTGACAATAATCCTCTGGTTCAATTGGATATAGAATCATCTTTTGTTTTATAGGAAACTCCTTATAAAGCATTTGATATTCAAAAAATATAAACATATAACAATTCAAAATAAATCTCGGAATTTAGTAATATAATGATTCTTATTTTGTAAGATTATAAAGGGATTCGATATTAAGGATTATAAACTTTTAGAGATGGAGAATAGGATTAGAAAGTTGGAATATCGATTGGATCAATTAGCTTCAAGAAAAAGACATAAAGTTTAAATGTCTTCAAATTCGAAGTTTGTAGGGATTAAAGCTGTAAGAGGCTCAAATTGAAACTAGAGATTATGAAATTAAGGGAAATGAATCCTATATTACTATAGAGAGTGATTCTATAGACAATTGTATTGAAGTTCAAGGTTGTTGAATAATTGAAGTTTGAAATGTAATCTTATGTAAATTCATTTCTTGAAGTCTCCGAAATGTTAGGGCGCAGACTTATATCTCTTTACGAACCGAGCTGTCTAATTCTTCCCTTTACTCCCCCCAATAATTTCCTTAGCCATATTCCTAACCATCTGACTAGTAGAAGGTATCTTCCTAGCACTCAATCTCTTGATACATCCAATTAAAGTCTCTTCTTGGCTGTCGTAAGCCTTTTCCTAAAATTAGAGGACACCTCCCCACGAGATCTAGTCACCCTCCTATACCTCCTAGAAAGAGTAGAGGGTTTAACCTGGTATTTCAAAGCTGTTTTGGTAATGTTTTTATGAGTCTGAACATTCAAATCAAGTATAGCCAACTCAATTCTCTCATTATAGGAGCCCTCCATATTGGTGTAAAGAATAAGGAGGGGGAAAATTCAGGGAAAAAATTTCGTGCATTCTGCGGGGTTGTGCATGTACCAGGGAATACGTTTAGACTTTACATCAGCAAAATAACAAGCGGGAATTGATGACATTCGAAAGAACTTCAACAATTCGAATCTCTTTTTCATACAATATTAAGTCTAAAAGATTTTAATATAGAAGATATAAGGCTCAAATTTACGTATAGTTTTTTAGATTTCAATATTTATTTTGAATTAAATTGATAATTCAATAAATAAACGACAATGAGATAGATTCAAAAAGTTCAATTTCCGCCTGTTTTTTCGCTTACGGAGAGTTAGGGTAACCTTATAAGCGTGAGGTTAACCCCTCGGTAGCTTTAACCTACCCGGGCGAGGATACACTCCTTACAACGACCATCTTTCATTCATCATTAATATGACACTTCCTCAAGAATTCTGCTTCGTTTTCTTTTTGATCTCAAGATCTTTAGCCAATCTCTTTTCTTGAAGTGTGTACCATGGCCCTGTTCCTTCGAAGAAACCTGTTTTCCCTGCCATTCTTTCTTCCCATGAAATTTTCTTAATAGTTCTATGAATCTTGTTAGCCTCTCTATACTTACTTAAAAATTAAATGGGAGACTCACTTCTTATCAAGCTTCTTATACGGCCCTGTACCATCTAGATTTGGCTTTCTTGGTTCATACCCATGACAAAGCAAGGTAGATATGGGATCTTCAATAGCAGGCAGGCGTTGAAGGACCTTAGTATCGCCATATGTTGAGTAGCAGGTACACATGGGGAAATTTGGTCTTTTTCCGACGTCTAGAGTTGCAACCCATGGTACGCAGAAGATAGTGTTTGGATACCGTACAGCTAGCATAGGATAGATCCATTCCTCGCGTCCAATATAGTAACCATTGGCATCCATATCGATTACTGTCTGCATGTATCGAACAGCAAAGTTTAGCATACCTGATGAATTCCCAGCATAAGCGCCCCCTGCGAAATGTTGGCTTTGCCATACTCTCCGAGGATTAGAGAACCACTCATGGTTTATATCTTTTCTTCCATGGTCTCCGTGATCAGCGAATATTCTATATTGCCCTATAACTATCCCGGTGTCTCCAGAGATTCCAATAGATCGATCAAATTTCTTTGCATCTAGTTGCTTCGCTATAACATCTCCCCATAAAACACCCTGAGAGTCTATTGGACCGGTCTCAGTAAATAGCCCAGCATCCATATAGATCCATCTGTCGGAACCAAACGGATTCCTGATAATAGCATCATAAGTAACAAATGCTTTAGCATTGTATGCTGCCATTTGATGAGCATGATTATATGTTGCATTTAGTTTCCAGTCTGGTCTCTCCCCTTCCAGCTTTTTGAATAGTTCCGTTTGTGTTTTTTTGAAGTTGTTATACTGATAGCTATTTGTCGGTATATCCCAAATTGTCTCGTATTCCGAAATAACATACCAATGAGGATCTTTCCGCATTGCTTTCACTGCTTTAGCTATAGTAGGACATACATAGATGATTGTTTGCTCTCCCATTTTCGCAAGGTTTTCGATTCTTTTGAGATACACCTCTACTGGTCTTCTCATTTCGCGTTCGGGATCAGGGTAGAACAATGCTATTATAGTCGGTGCACTTGGTCTAATAGGAGTAAACTTAGGTGTCTCTAGAATCTTTGGAGAGTTCTTCAATTTGAAGAGCTTCTTCACCCATTTTGCAACATTTTTCCCATAAACGCTTGTAGGGATGCTCAAAAGCTTTTCAACATTTATTGAAGATGCAACTGGAAATGGAAACAATGGATCGTGAAGTGGTCGTGGTCTAGAACTTTCTCGATAAGGATTCTTGATCAAGATTTTTTCGTTTTCAGTAAGGTGCTGATTCCCTCTAGAAGATTCAGCGTCGGAACCACTCGATGAGCTATTGGAATGTTGAGAGTTGTGATCATTTATGCTAGCTTTTCCAAGCTTTGTTTTTCCCGTTTTGGATGGTTGAATATCTTCAACATTTTTAGGGGATACAGAGTGTGAGCGAGTACTAATTTTAGTCTTAATAGACTCTAACTTTGTATGAAGTTTACTACCGGAGCTGCTGGATGCACCATGCCGGGTTCTGTCGGATTTTTGCATGATAACTCGGAGTCTTGGTGGTATGAGGTGATGCTATACAAGCGAGCGTTTTAAAATATAAACGAATAATTGAAGTAATTTACTAAAAGCTCCTTTGAGTGAAGTGATTTGAGAGTAGTAAGATGTTTATTATTCTCTTTCTTATTCTCTATTTATATATCAAAATTCTACTTCTACTCATAAAGTTTACAAACTAACATTGCGTCCTTTTCATTGTCCTCTACTATCAATAATCATTCGGACTGAACATTACGTCCTCTTCATTGTCTTCCACTGTCCATCATTATTCGGACTTTCTTCGATCAGAAATCTGAAACTTCGCATGGGGGCCTCTGAATGGCCGATGCTAGACGATGTGAGCTTGCGCCCTCTATCTATTACAGTGACCACGGTCTGACGATGGGTATAATTTCTTTAATTAGAACCGAGGCCGATTTGCATTTGGCCAAAACACTAAAAATAATCTTAGGCCTCCTTCAGGGTTCACACTTAAGCGCTAAACCTACACGCTCACCCTTTTTATAAAAATACTCAGTACTAGACAACGTCGGCGGTGGTCGGGTCTTAAGAATGGTGAATATAACCAGACCTAGTAAGCTACTCCGAACCACGATCAATCTGGAATTGAACGAGATAATACGTCCTTAACCAGCATGGTAGTGAATCACCGACTGCCCCTCCGGATCTCGACCTTATTAGAGAATAGCCCTGTCAGTACTACTGGCGTGGCGTATTATCTCGCAAGTAGAAGATAAAAAATCGACCCTTGGCATGTACGGGTGATGATATATCTAATTGCTTTTATCGTGACTTTAACCCGTACGTTGATAATGTACATGGTCATGTGATAGTCTACCATTTGATTATCTTAGCACCAATAGACACCAAGTCATGAACTTCAAGAACAAATACGTATAGCGTTAAACGTACTGACGATGAAAGAAACGTCGAGTGACTGGATGAGCAGGAGTCACAACCCGATAACCCAAAGAGGAGTGTATCCCCTAAGGTGTGGTGGTGCCATTTATGGGCGCCGTCGCTTAACCGGGTCTTAAGTCGGGTACCCCACTTTCTGGCCACCCCCCTTTTGGGCCACCTTTTCACACCAAAATTGATCTTTTTAACTTTCTTATTTATAAATAGAACTTATTGAAAATTGGAATATATATAATTCAGATTATTCAAAATTTACATTCAAAATTTCAGATTTTTAGGATTTTTCTGAATCGATCTCTAAGCCTTTAAAATATCGATTTTTTGATTTACTATAGTCTCAATTTCATTTTCTAACTTTAAGCTCATATTTCATATTCAATCCACTAATATTATAATATGAAAGTCTACCTCTAAGAGGTCTATAAGTACTAGCGATAATATGACGATATGACAACGAGTAAAGGGGGGATTCGCTATTAACCTGTTTTGCTTCGTACTTCGGAATACCCATCTTCACCGAGAGAGAAAAAACCTTGACGAGTTACAATTTGTGCAACTGGATAGCTGAACTAGCTTATGGTTTCATCACAACAAGTCTACCAACACCAGTAAACTCTGCAGCCGTATCAAAAGCTTCTTTCCACCCCTCCAAACTAAATGATTTCACATCTACAAATTCCTTTCCTCTGGGAAGTAACCCACTCTCCAACATCTTCACAAACTGCACCATGTCATCTCTTTCATACATCAGTTTTCCCTTCAACGTGATGTTATCCCCCATGACTTTCCAGTCGTTAATGTGGTACTCTCCAGAACCCATAAGACTAGCTCTCCCGCCTTTTCGAAGCGAATTAATTGCGCTTTTCAAATGTGTCGATTGAGCTGCTGCAGGTGGAGAAATATCTAACACAGCATCGATTGTGCCAAGTTTCTGTAGAGCCGCCGTATCCGTATCCACATCACCTGTCATGTTGACAGTTTCAATGCTTGCACCTGGAGTCCCTCTTTTGATATGTTGCTTCAACCTCTTCAATTCCTCTCCATTCCGCCCCATAGCAATAACCCTCGCTCCCATCGCGACCGCCACTTGCACCCCAGCACCACCAAATCCCCCTGTTGCCGGACACACCACAATCGTCTCCCCTGGTTCCAATCTGATATCTCTCAATCCGCCATATGGAACCAGAAGATAACACAGATACGTCAAGTCCTGCAACGAGTATCCCAGTTCTTCACACAGTCTCGGCTCACTAAGCGCAATGCAATTTTCTAAAGGTACGCTCGCGAATTCCGCAAATGTACCATTCCTCCAAACATCTCTCATCAAACTCCTACTGCCCTCACTAAACCCATCGTGGATAGCACTCAAAAAAAGAGTACTGGGATCATCACGTCCACGCACAACACAATCGACATAAACTAATTGACCTTCCTTGAGAGAAACAGCATCAGGCCCAAGTGCGATGATGCGAGCAATAGCGCTGAAGCCTCCAACGATAGGAAGAGGAAATGGATATGGGCGTGCGCCATTGTATACTTCGCGATGGTACGAGAGAACACCCGTACAGTGAATTTGAAGGACGGCGCTTCCAGGCGTCGGGAGGGGAGTTGGCAAAGATTTGACGAGGAAGTCTGAGCCTACTGATTCGAGCACGAGAGCGCGATGTTGAGATGGCAAGGAAGACATTGTGGATGGGTTGTTTGGATTTTTAAATGATACTTTGAAGAATATTTAGATTTGAGTTGTAAATGCTACCGGTATATCGAAGGATATAGCCATATATATAGTAAAAAGATCTTTTTCATTGATGGTACCATACTCTTTTATTCCCGTGGCAAGTTGTTCTCATAGTATGAGAAGTTCAATCACAGGCTCGGAAGACCGATCATATCCGAGCTTATACTCTTCAATGTGGGGCATTGTCTTCGGTGATAATCGGTGCTATCTCCAAATTATGGCAATTGCAGCTACAATTTATCTTTTTGGGATTAGCGCTTGACTTTTCGTACATTCCAAGTGGTTTGGCTAAGCTGAACATGTTGGATACGATAACCATTTGTGAGGTATCTCGCGTGCTCGGGGTTAAGTTGAAGATGCCGACTAGGAATCTTGACGCACGAAAACATCGACAAAACTTCGCGTTGAAGACACACACACTTAGTTCGGTCTATCCCGAGCTCTATGCATATTCTCTGTAGTCTGATTTGTTCTCAATTGGCTGCTAGTTGTATCGTATGCACGAACTAATAGACTACTAAAACTGCCACATGCTATCTAGGTCCATTCCCAGATCAAAAACATCACTTTCAAACTGCTTTTAAGTCAATCAGTGTTCAACAGAAATTAAGACATCATACTAACATCAGAAATGTTCAACCACGAGAACGCCGGAACTTCTGTGGTTTTATGCGCAGCAGATTGTCCACCGGGATTGATGTGCTCTGCGGACATTCGTGGAATGGAATCCTGCTGGATAGGAATGGATATATGACGTTGGTTTTCGATACGCTTGTGATGTAGATCTGACAAACTCTGTGAAACATCGAGCTTGCAGGTCTCTGGACTACCTTCTCCTGCATGTATGTTGAGTAATGCAATAGCCGTAGCCATAGTCAGAAAACACCAAGGCTCTTTGTGGAATCCATAAAGGTATCTGTTGCCCATAGTAGGAAGGCATTGCTTGAGGAAATCAATGATATTAGTGGAATCGCTCATGATAATACTGCTTGAGCCTGTATTCTCTCATTAGTATGGTACAAATTCCGATGAAGAGAGAGTATTGAAACGAAACATCAGCACTTTGTTTTCAAGATGCTAAATCTCGACATGAGAAATACGAGTAAGCTGACCTTTGGGCTGTAGCAAAGTGACACGAGTGAGCGTTAATGAAGCCAACAAAAGATCTTCTCGGAGCATTGTTACACTCTGATTTCCCGTGCTTATCATTTTTAAATTGAGTAAAAGTATATCTCGCGACATCTGGTAACAAATGTTTTCAGAAAGCCAAAACTTGCGATTTTCTCTCTTAAGATATGGTCGATGGATAGCTATAATACATTCACTAAGCTGGAAATGTAGGAATGCATGAGCGAGAATAGGAGAGCAGACATGGCTTGTTGCCCCTGAATTGACTTCATCCCAAGCTGGGAGGGAGTGAATTTCCTGGGTCAATTGATGGGTTAATTGCAAGACTTCATCGTAGCTCAATACTTTTGGTGATCCTGTCGCAAAAAGTCGGCGAGATACGTCTAAACGCAACTCCCAACTATGAGAACTATGAAATTGATAAGATGTCCGGGTATGTTTGTGGAATGGTTCTGAGACTGGAAGTGTTTTCGAGGTCTCGTCAAACTCGTCATCATCAATGTCTCCAGGGGTACCAGTTTTAGCATCAATTGTGTTCAGGAGAGTTGGTATTCCAGTCTCAAACGAGTTTTGCAAGTCGAGTTCGCGAATAACAGCCCACATCCGTGTTTTCATCTCTCGCGTAAAGATTGTATCTCCACTTGAAGTCGGGTCTCGGTGTAGCCCATCCATAATTGCATTTTGAAGCAAAGAACTCGTTTCCTTGAACCACTCTTTCTTCCTAATCATGTGCATTCGTCTTGCGAGATACAACAAACAGCCGATTTGATAGTGCACAAGCTTACGGCCATTTGAACTTTGCTCTCTTGACCATTTGTCACACGCGGAGATCCACTGCCCTGGAGCTATTTGGTGATGGGAAGGTGTGAGACTGCTGTAGCTGGCAGGAATGCATATTGAGATTGATATCATAGAGAGGATTAGCGCCGTCATGGTAGAATGACGAGTACAACCAGGTACCCAAAACTCGGCATATTCTTTGTTAAAAGTGGGAATATGAACGATGCGATGCAGTTGCTCGAAATGTTCGAGGTAAGACTGTACTAAAAAATCTGTTACGTCCTTTGCTGGAAGAATGGCCTCCAAATGGCACTCTGCCGTAAAATGGCTATGAGCTTGTAATAAATCATTCCGAGTGGCTTTGTCCTTTCTAATACGAACCCCATGAGGTGCAAACAATTCTTCATACGTTTCTTTCATGAACGGAAAGAGTTCAGGAATCTGTTTTGTGATATAAGCAAATTTTGTGAAATTATTATGATACACAGAATCTCACCTCTTCAAAGAAGCGAAATAGATGGTGTTGAGTGTAGTAACTAGAAGGATTTCTCGCCTTTGGATGAATAAGGTCATTATCCATCGGTATAATGGATCCATAAGTCTCCTCGCAACGCTTGTCTGGTAGCATCCCGTCGCTAATTTCCGAGACACCAGTAGCAGTCACAGGCTCTGCCACAATAGTGGCTTCATTTTGAGAATGAATCTTAGACAGCAGCACTCTCAATTGCGTCACCTCGGACCGGAGTTTTTGAACTTCTTCGCTATCAGTCTGAGCTTGCTGCTGCTTATGCATCGTTAAAGAGGGCTGTCCGGTTTCGAATGAACATTGTCCCGATCGCCCGGTCCTTACACATCTTTGACAAGGTAATCTACGATCACATGAAAGCTATTTCTCGAAAGCCAATTAGGACATAATTCATCATAATGAGAATGAAAGTGTACTGTTTGCACTCACTTTCTTTTTCCTGCATTCCCCACAACTTAGTCGTAGGCGTTTTCTCGGCACCTTTCCATCACTCGTCTTGCTAGTCGAACTTAATATTTGGCTATCCATACTGATATTACCGTCTTGAAGTTTTCAAGCATACCGATAGGTCTAATGTGACTCTCCCACTATCGTGAAAGCTCATCATCTCCAGATGATTGTTATTTGTGTTAGTCGCGGCGTTAATCGCTGGCGGCCGATCATCTCCGAGCTTCACGCTTACACGTACCGAGGCTGGTAACCTTAACGAGCATTAAATCAACGACCCTACCTCCCAACCACCCCCTACTTCCAACCACAAAATTCACCTCGCTTTAAGTACCTACATACCTACCTAGGTAGATACTCGCACATAAATTTTATTTAAAAGCACTAAAGAAATCACTAAAAAAACCATAAACAATTCACATAAATCCGATTCCTTAAATCTAATCTCAGATTACTTAACCTTAGTCAAGCTCATCTTGAATTTTGTAATCTTATAAGGTTAACTAATATAATTTATAATTTATAATTTATAATTTACTATCAGATCGCTAAGATTATTGAATCGCTATTTATTTTTATATATAGTTAGGTGTTCTTCGTAATATAATATAATGCTATTTGTTCTATCGTATAGATTTTTGTTTAATTTTCTTTTGGGTTCGATTTGATTTGTTGTACTTGGATAGTATCTATCGTGTATTGCTTTTACGTATGGTTGTATAGATTTTAATATATATATGTATATATATATAAGAGACGGAGTATATAATTTAAAAAATCTTTATTATCATCTATCTCCCATTCGATAAAAACCCAATCTAATCTACTCTATCCCCTCCTTCCCGCCCCCCTTCCCTACCCTTCCCCTCCCCTGCCCCTCCTACCCACCCCTCCTCCCCCTAACAAACCCCCCCAACCCCCCCAGCACCCTCCCAAACCCCTGCTCCTCCTCCCCCACCCCCCTAACCCCCTCTCTAATCCACCCCGCCAACTTCCCCCTCACCCTCTCCCCCCTAAACCTCTCATCCACCATCAAAATCCCCGCCCAATCCCCTTGATGTCTTATCGCCCTACCCACACTCTGATTCACCGCTCGCATACATACATTCTCAAAGAAATCCTTCGCTTCTTCTTTTGCTTTGTGGGCGATTTCTTCTCTGACCTCTTTCGGGATTTGAATTTCCATTTCCGCATTGCCTTCCCTCTTTCCCGTCTCCCCATTTTTATTTTCATTCTCCCCATCTCCCAACCGTGTCAGAGAAGAGGAAATCGAATAATCGCCCGATAACCGCTTAACCGCACTCTCCTCCACAAACCTCAACCGTCTCCTCCACTCCGCCGTCCTCGCATTCGGAAACGGCAATCCGACAATCACCACCGCTCTCCCCAACTCATCCGAGAAATTAATCCCCTCGCTTAATTTTCCCCCCACAACACTGAAAAGCAACCCTCCCTTTCCCTCTTCGATCGCTTTTCCATATCGCCTCAGTATCTCTTCCACACTTTCCTCTTTCGCTTCCCGCACTACCGTTTTCTTTTCTTCTAATCTCTGAAGGATGGATTTGGGTTTACTACTATGAATACCATTACTACTATTACCCTGACTCACGACTGCAAACCTCGCCAGAATCGTATCCAAAACCCTGTAACTGGGGAAGAAAACCACCACGCCCCCAGGAACAACTGTACAGACATTCACCAAGACTCTCCCCAACTCATCCATCATCTCTGCATTCGCGCGGTTTTCATACGTCCACTTGAAGGGGTATCCCGTGGGGCCTTTGGAGACGACACTCGCGAAGAGGTTGCTGGATGGGATGACGTGGCCGCAGGAGAGAGTGGTGATTTTGTGGGCGGGGATGGAGGGGAAGAGGATAGAGGTGTAATCTGAGAAGGGGGACATGGTTCCACCTGCGAGGATGACGGCGCGGGCGGAGGATACGATAGAGTCGAAGTGGATGGCCGGGTTGAGGAGTTGGAATTTGAGAGTGATGTCGGTATCGTGTTTGAGGAAGAAGAGTTGGCCTTCGGATGTGGGGTGGGTGAGGGCGAGGAGGAGAGATGTTAGGGTATGTAGAATAGGGGTTGATTTGGGGGGATCTTTGGGTTTGGATGTGGAGATGGAGGTTTGTGGTTGGAGTTGTAATGTTCGGATGTGGTCGGTGTAGGATTCGACTTTGCGTGCTAGTTTACTTTCTTGGAGATAGCGGATTAGTTTGAAGAGATCGATTTGATCGGCTCCTTTTCCGGATAGGAGATCTTTTTGAGAGACTACTCCATCTATTGCCTGATTTATTTGTTAGCCATCTTGCACCTGTTCATTCATCTCATTCTCCTTCTTCACAGCCCTCAAACTCAAAAAAACCCTCCAAAAATAGGAGAATGGGAAACAAAGAACAAAACCTACCGATCCCTCCAACATCCTCACCAAATAACCCACCAAACTATCCACCACCCTAATCGTCTGCGCCACATAAATCCTATTCTTGCCCCCCAACCTCTTCGCAAACTTTCTAAAATAATTCCCCAACATTTCCTTCGCCAACCTCAACTCCCCCAACTCCATCTCCGTCCCATAGATCCCCGCAATCGCATCCATCAAATTATGCGCCTCGTCAATAATAACCACATGTCCCTTCAAACTAATCCCCAGCGCTTCCCTCGCGCTCTTCTGCAAAAGTAACGGGTAAGGCAATGTGACTATTTCCGCGGGTTTGATGGCAGCTCTCGAAGCATAGTATGGACAGATTGAGATTTCTTTCCCCAGAGACCCCATATCTTCGATATCGCGGATCGTAGCGAGTGTGTGATCGCGAAAGGTGTTGACGAGTGGTTTGTTATCTTTGTTGGGTAGATGAGGACATTTGTGTTCTTTGGGGGTTGAAGATTGTTGGAGTTCAGCGCAACGTTCGTTGATTGCGGTTACGGAGTTGAGTTTATTTACTTTGGGGTTTATGCAGAGATTTTTGCGGGAACCGAGGGTTAGATGCTTGAGGTGTTCGTGGAGGGGTTCTTTCTTTTCGTCTGGTGATTTCGAGGGCGTGTCTGATGGAGGTATAGATGGTGGGAATTCTACTCGTCGGAGTTCGTTGATAAATTGAGTTAGTTGAGAATGAGTTCTCGAACAGTAGAATATCTATTACCTGTTAGTAATGAACATGAAATTATCAAAGTTCATATAACCTTTATCTCATCCTCCGGTTCCTCATCTTCATCTTCTACTCCTTTACTCCACAGCCCAACGCTCTTCTTCAACTCCAACGTTTCTTTCGAGAAAATAGTCTCATCTCCCGTTCCTCTCTTCCCACTACCACCAGCCTCCCCATCACTATCCCAATCCTCTAATAGAAACTCGTCTTCATTCCCACCAGCACTTTCTCCCTTCATACCCCCATCTTCATCTCCCCCGATCTTCCTTCTCTTCCCACTCCTCCCATCACCTTTCCCAGCCATCCTATCCCTCTCCTTCCTCTCTTTCTCTCTAATCCTCTCCAACCTCCTCTCCATCTCCTCCCTCCTCGAAACCAACTCCCTTTTCCTCCTCTCCCTCGCCGCCTTAATCACCCACTCCGGTTCTGTCGAGCTTGCTAAGCCGTCCCCACCCCCCTCAACCACCCCCTCAAAAATCCTCCCCTTCCACCCCCTCAACCACGTCACCCCCCCACAAATCAAACTCAAGCTCTTCCCCGTCCCCGTCGGACTCTCCAAAATCCCAATCTTCCCCTCTTCCAAAACATCCCACACCGTTTGCATAAAAGTTTCCTGGATCGGATAGGGCGTGTACGGGTGATGAAAATCTCTTTTGCTGTTATGGATTTCAATCTCCGTATCCAGATCCGAGGTGGTGTTGGTAGGGGAATCCATTGTTTGCCGGAGGTGATTTTTGAAGATGATTTGAGAAATTAATCGATTGAGAGTCTGGTCATCAATCTCGGAAAAACTCGAGCAAGACCTCAAGACTAATGAGCAAGAAAGTTGTGAGTCCTAGATACCTAGTTTCTTTTCTATTAATCTCTTAGCTCGTGGCTCGTGGCACGATGATATTGCTGTTTCCGAAGGTTACCCCGGTATTTTCAAGGGAGACGCGCTTTGTCAAAATTTCGATTCGCGAAGTCACGTCTTTTGGCGCAAAGTGCAATGAATTGACAAGTGGATATGTCTAGTAAGCAAGCATCTAATTCCATGTAATTACTGTTGGGAGATCGACTGACAGGTCCGATGAAATCATAAATTGTATATGCCCATGCAAGTTGTTGAAAGGTAAGAGTTTATTACCTCGTTTGCATAGAGAAGGCACTGAAGCTGAGGTATGGTTGTATTAAATCACTTCTTGAATCTCTCAAAAGCCACTTCTTGACAACCTTTGATACAATCAGTCCTAAAGGTAGAGTGTGCAAGCATGAATCAAGTCATCGAAATGTCATATGGATATTATGCCATGCCCGCTATCTAAAGTTACACTCATGATTCCTTATGCTCTCTCATCTATGCATATCATTTTCTACCCTTCCACCCCTCCATTCCTCCCATCATTCAAGTATCATGCACAGCCAGACACAATATCCAGCTTATACAATCGTCTCCAACTCTCTAGCATAACCAAGGGTATTCTCAATAGCTGTCATACTAACTTCCTTCTCCTCGGCGACCCCTCCAGCTTCCACATTCACACCATTCTTCAACTTTTGGTTAGGGAAGTATATCCTTCCATCTTCAATCAACCATCCTCTGTGTTGCGCAAATTGGACTACTGCTCCTTCTGATGGTAAGAAGAGGAGGTTCTTTGTGGATGAAATAGGTAGGGATGGGTATGCTGTTTCGGAAGACGAAGCAATTTCAGAGCGAATTTGGTTAATCAAGATCTATTCGTAAAGCGTTAGTTAGTAAGCTTCTTAAAATCCACAGCAACAGCACATCCAACCTTGCGGCTGATTGAACAACAACAAAACCAACTTACCTCACTGAAAACTCCATACTCCTCACTCGGCACCTTACCACCCTCCATTGCCTTCCAAACCAAATCATAACTACCCTCCATCAACCATCTCTCCAACTTAATCGGATATCCCAAGTATTTATCTTCCTCGACCCTCTTTCCACCATCCTCCCTCAATTCCAAGCCCTCCAACTCCGTATGAAAGCCCGCATAATCTCCCTGTGTCAACAACAACAAAAGATATAATCCTGTAATCTTATTCTTCTCTCCCGAGCTCTTGGCGCTAAATTTGTCGTCGGGAAGCTCGTAGTATGGAGTTAATTGATGAACGTAACGTGTGAAACCAGCTGGATCCTTGGCCCGAATGGAAACCAGAGCTCCCGTTTCAAAGACTTCGCGAGCGAGAGATAATATCGAAGGTGAAGTTGTTGCTTGTGGAGTCAAGGCATTTAATTTGAGAAGTGTTAGTTTGGCTTTGGAGAGGAGTGACGAGCTCTCTTGGTAGGATGTTGATGGGGATTTGAGTTTTTGAATAATTGTTTGAAGGTCGCGTTCTGACATCTTGATTGTTAAAGTGGTGAGTTTGTTTATTCCGTCGTAAGATTTGGAGAGGAAATGGGTTGTTTGAGTGATAGGGCGAAGAAGTTGGTATAATTGTAATTCGAAGCTTTTGGAGATGGCAAGGTAGCTATGGAGCCGCGTCGATGGAAGCAACCTTAAGACGCTTAGTCATGTGTCATAACCTGAGGCTGGTCAAAGCTCATTCTGAAATCACCACCTGATTGGTTTCCATTTTTGGGTTATGTGTAAGTTCAGCTCATACAATTATTGGATACCTTATTATATTATCCACCCTCTACGTATTCTCTTCTGTTGCTGTTGCATATCTGGTTTATTTTGTTTACTCGTAAATACAAGCCAATCAGAATCAATGAATCACTCACTCACAATCACTCACAATCACTCACAATAAGAATACTCATCATATCATAATCTACAAACTCTCATTGCCATTCTTTCTTCCAATCATTCAAAACCATTCTAGTATGTATGCAGTATTTGCAATGATCTTTTGCCTTTTGCTCTGATCATATTACCTCATAAAAGAACTCCCCGCTTCCCAGATGAAGAAAAAGACAAAACAAACTCCCATATTTCCCAAATTTCCGTCGTTACCCTATTATGCAAAATCGCAGAGAGAGCGAATGAACTTTGTGATCAACTCCAGTTGTATTATAAGAAACCCCATGGTCAAACTCTCTATGATACAATCGTGATATGTTCGGAGATGTGTGTGCAAATAAGTCGAATGTTGAGCGCTGATGTGTAGATGTGAACCGAATAACCAAGGGTACAAGAGAAGTGAAGATCGCAATTCGATTTATGTATGATGAAGTTCGAAAGATCCAATAGTTAGTTAGTTAATCGACACTGCGAATTGAACCCCAAAATTGACAGTCAAAATCATTGTTCACCAAACATTCCATCGATACCACTGCCGTTGGGCTTTTTTGTTGGAATGGTTCGACCACCACCAATAGCGGCTAGACTTGGGCTCTTGTCACTTCCTGCGATGTTCCAAGGACTGCTTTTCTTTTGACTTCTTTCATCATCATCCATACCTTCCATGTTGAAGACAAAATCACCCTGTTCCTCATCAATAGGTGTTGTGAATCTGCCACTGCCACCAATACTACTTGAGCTAGTTTGTCTATCAGCTGCAAAAGGTGATCGACTTGAACTTGTAGGAGTAGTTGTAGTGCGCGCTGATGACGATGAAAGAAGGCTGGATCCGCTACCAATAGGTTCAGTTCCGGAAAGACGAGTTCGTTGGAGTTGCTGAGAAATCATAGACAGAGGGGTATGACGAGGAGGAGACGCAATGAATGAAGATGCATCACCAGATGTATTAGGTCGAGCAATTGCTCTAGAGCCAGGACTTGCTCCTTCATGAAGAAGGGAGTTGCGAAGAGGAGAGCCAACATGTCCAAACACTGACGCTCGAGAAATTTCTTCTTCCTTGGGTTTTGATTGAAAGTAAGCATTCCACCTTGAAGGACTTCCGTTTGATGGAGAGCCGAATTTTGTCGGGGTGTCATTGCTTGGGGTGTAAGATGTAGATCTGATCTCGTCGTAGAATCCTCGAGATGGCTTGGATTCGTCATACGCAGCCCGAGAATTTCTTCTAGCTTTCTCTGCGGGTGTCATGAGATCATTAAGAGATTCTGGCAGTAAATCTTCTTCAAAGTTAAAAGCCTCACCCCAATCTTGCTCCTCGCGTCCCTTGGGAAGACTGGCTGATATCATCTTTGGTTTGGTCGATCGTTGAGAATGCATAGTGCGCTTGCCAAAGTATTCTTCGGATGGTGGAGATGATGCAATGCCATGGAATCGATCTCTGGTATCATCTCCGAATGCAGAGCTATGCAGGTTTCTCAAGGCATCCGATGGCTTTCCCCCACCGACTGATGATGCTGGAGGAGAATCGATACCAAAGGTCGTAGGAACTGAGGATGCAATCTTTCCATGTCTTGCAATCCACGAAACGCCATTACTATCGAAGGAAGCTGGCAAAGGAGCATCCAACACACTCAAACCTTTTGCTGCAACTGGCGAAAGTCCCCCACCAAATCGATCCATTATATCATCTCTAGGCGATCCATAATTTGATCCGGGATGCGACGCATAACTCGCTTCGATCGTAGGGATACCGATATCAATACCTTGCTGCCTGCCCATCATGGGAACAAATCCATCCTCTTGTATGGCAAAAGGTGAGTAAGGTTGACCATATGGTGAAGGTGGTACACCTTGAGCTCGAGCAAAGGAAGTGGTTAAAGCCGAGCCTTGTCCATGATATGGATCTGGGTTTATTCGTCCTCCAATGTTTAGTCCCGGAGCCATCGGTGGCATATTCTTATTATAATTGATTCGTCTTCCATCGGGGAGAACGTGTATATTTGCGCATTTAGGTCCGAACTTGCAGTTACCCTTCGCAGAACATTAGAATCCTGATTTGACTTTGTGAATAGAGTGTAATACCTTTGAGAAGTATTTGCAGACATTATCAGTTGTGCTAGCTAGATCGTGACTGAAAGGACAAGCTTGACCAGCTATAGATTACTTATTAGTCGAAGGCTCCGGTGGTGATGCTTCAGAATACATGACATACCTTGACAAGTACCCTAACAATTCTCAACCGTCAGCAACTCGATCACTTCTCGTAGATTAGAAGCATGAACTTTACTCACTTGTCTAAAGAATTTACACGGAACATGACCGGTATCTATGCAAAGCCGCATTAGCAACGTCATCAGCAACAAGTCCCCGGAAGCTTTCAATTCTTACTTTGTCTAGTAGGAGGACTTCTTGCAACACCATCTGCTCTAGCAGAACCACCATTGATCGGACCCGATTGACCATTTGGAATATTTAAGCTACCGGTGCTCATATGACGAGGATATTGAGTGTTGGAGCTGCTGCCATTTCGCATATGCTGCGGCTGCGGCGGTTGTGGCGCTCCGTTACCCAACATTGTATCCATGCCCGAAATGTTTTTGGATGGGAATGGAGATTAGAAAAATGGAATGTAGATATGATTGGAAAATTTATGTTGTTGTTTAAAAGAGTTGGATGCGGTCGGCGGGGTACAAGACAAGGTGAGGTAGGTGGTGGATGGGTGGATGGTGGATGGTGGATGGTGGGGGGGGATTATTGATCGAGGGTCGTGTGTAGTGTGGTGAAGAAGAACGAAAAGAAGGATGTTTTAAGATTAAGAGTAGATTGATTGATTGATTGATTTGACTTGATTTTAGCTTTGGATTTCTCTTTCTATCTTAGCCTCGTGGAGAAAAAAAAAGAGGCGAGAGGATAAGGAAAGGTTTTGATAGTGGAAAGAAGAAGGTAGAAGTAGTCAAGTACTAGGTAGTGATTAAGTAGTAGTAGTAGTAGTAGTAGTAGTAATAGTAGTAATAGTAGTAATAGTAGTAATAGTAGTAATAGTAGTAATAGTAGTAATAGTAGTAATAGTAGTAATAGTAGTAATAGTAGTAATAGTAGTAATAGTAGTAATAGTAGTAGTAGTAATAACAAGCAATAACTAATAAGTAAGCAAGTTCTTGTTTTTGATAGATTTCTTATTCCTGAATTTCTAATTCTTTCGAGTCCTTGTCTTGTTCTGGGTTGTCTGGATGTTGAAGAAATCAGATACGAGGGAGGTAGATAATGTAGGTATTAGATAGTGTGATTTGTAGTGTTGGTAGGTAGGTATTGTATCTTCAATTCATGGATGGTGGATGATCAAGTATGATGGATAGATAAATCGTCAGATAGATAGTCAGATAGATAGTCAGATAGATTCTACCTAGGTAGATCAATGATACCCAGATACTCGTAGATATGATACAATATGAACGAAATACTCGGTATGTATAATATGAGGTGTGCAGAGTGCCTAGTATGACTGTATGAGGCAAGTATGAGGCAAAGGTGGCTGTGCAAGCATAGAATGGCTGTACCACCTGCAGTATTCAATCCACCTGGGCATCTAATAAAAGTGTCGAGGCTGAAATAACTTCTGACTGCTAATAGTAACTTCTGGGGAAAACAAGCCTTGTGGTAACCTGGAAAGTTAACAGAGGAATGATGAATCAATCCTTTCTTATTGTTCTCGCTTCTCGATTCTCGATTGACCCGACTGACAAAGAGGAGAGTTTCGACTTTCGAGTTTCGAGTTTGCGTGGCTTGGGTAACCTTATGGTCGTGCGTTTTGGTGTCATGTAAAAAGTGTGGTTATGGTGGCACGCCGTCCGTATCCCCAGTATGGATGTTTCTGGACTAACAAATTGCATGTGCGAGGGACGGAGACTCGAAGGTGATGTCCAGGAGATGTCCAGGAGATGTCAGACCGCTTGTTGGTGAAGTCTCCTAAAGATTCCAAGTATGAACTATGAGTATAAGGTTCAAGATTGATGAGAGATAGCGCAATAGATATTCCCTCATTGACCCCCCGTCCGCCTGATAATTGCGCAAGAATATACTTTGGAGTCTTGGAGGAGCTCGAGGAGGAGGAGGATGGGGGTACAGGTTGATAACCGAGGATCTGGGTCTGGGCCTTTCTTGCTTTCTCCTGGTCGACGGTTTGGATCATTCCCGATAACATCCAAGCAAGACTTATTTGGCCATGAGATACTATATGTACTTCATCACAGCCTGAGAATAACAGAGGAATGATATATAACAACCACCAAGATTCTCATAAAAATTCCATCCGACTTGATTATTGGACAGAGCCCTGGAGAATGATGATTCACATAAAAATGTCCCGGGTGGCGGCGTCGACCTACTTAGTACCTACACATCTCATCAACCATCTCACCGTCCCAAACAGGACTCCGGTGCGTAAAAGCGCTTGAGCAGGAAAACAAAAACAAGTCTCACTTCATTTCCTAGTTGACATTGATACAATACAACACATCAAGTCTATCTACCAGGTACCTAGGCAGGGCAGGTATGTATGAGTATGGTAAACCCGACCCCGTGACTTCTAATCTCCAGCAACAATATCATCACACACCCAACCACCTCTTCAACTAAGGATCCAAAACATGAATTAATCTCATCAATTATTCCCAAATAAGTATATACTACCTCAATAGATACTAGATACACATCCCATTCCATCGATCCATAATATCCAACATCCATCATTCTCTCCCCCAAAAGGTGTCTCTTATCAGCTGCCATCCATCCAAACTCACAAGCACGCAAGTAGCCTTCCAAAATGCATACATCACCATTATGTCGCAAGCCGATCACCCATGCAGAAAGGATCCCATTCCATCTTCATCAAGTAAGACATACATGGCATCCAGACCAGAATAGAAAGATCGATCCATCTTCCCACCTAATCGGACACCCAAGTAACCCATCACTTGCGACGGTAGGTCAGAATCTCCTAGCCGCTGATAGCGCAGTGGGTGTAGTGTTTCAGAATGTCCATACGGATACGAAACCATCCATCATTCATCATTCATTCATTCATCACAGATATCAATCCATTCCATGAATTCCCATCATGGGAATTGGGGGTTTGTGACCAATGATTCATACGTTTGATCCCTTGGGAGATGGCATTTTGATGTTTCTCCTGCCTGTCTATCGGTCTGCATATCTGAAGCATGCCCTTTACAGAATACTTACATACCGCCTATCTAAGTCGGGTATCCTACTTTCGGGCTAATAGGGTTTTGGGCTACCCTTTTATATCAAAAATCATTTTTTAGGTTTATTAATATTTCTATTAATATATCACGAAGGTAATAGCTATATCTAATGGTCACTTTGATCTGGGAATAGGTATATAAAGTAATAATAAACTAGATTGACTTAAGGTATAATTCTAATAATTATACCTACTTTATATACCCTGATCAAATAAGGTACTCATCTAATTAAATATGTAGGGTATATAAATAAAATAAATGAAATAGTATTAATAATTATAAGAATAAATACTTCAAAGGAATACCAAGATTAATAATTGTAAAGTTAAATTATACAGTAAATTCCGTAATATATTCTTTAGATTGCTAAATACTTTAATGATTATACTGAGTGATTTGTATAGTAAATAAAGGAAAATTTTAAGGTAGTAAGTAATGTAAGAATTAATAAATGCTTTATTTGAATAGTTACTATAAATTTATTTATTAAGCAAATTTATTTATTAAATAAAGGAATATAAAGTATATAAATATATAGAGTTTTTTATAAAAAAAAAAAAAATTGTATTATTAATATAAGCAATTTGTAAGAAAGTAATAATATTAGAATAAAAGAATTAATTCTTTAGATTAATGTATATTAGAAGATCTGAGTTATATTGATTATTATTTACTAAATATTTGTATTAATTGATTTGATCGATTTGTATATACAATATTTTTGTAATGGTAATAAAATTAAATAGAAATTGATAGATTTAAGAGAATATAATAAATCAAGATAATTATAAGAAGGAGATAATTCTCCTTTCTTAAATTTATATTTGATAATTCAATATATTCTTTCAAAATGCCTTCTCCTATTAAAAATTTCCCTGATTTTATTAATATCTCTAATCGATATACCACCACCTCCCTACATATTATCCTGAAGGGTAATATTCGATTTAATAAATCCAGTACTTAGTATATTTCTAATTAGTTATTATTTCCAGTTGAATTATTATTTTTGGTTAAGGTTTGATCATTTTCTAATAAAAAGATTTTATAAATAAAACTTTTTTTTAATAAATTTTAATAAAATCTTAATAATAATTTTTTAAAGAAAATTAAAGTTATTTATAATTACTAAATTAAAGTAAATAAATATTATATAATAATTTGTTCTATAGATTGTAGTAATTTCTTTATTGATAATAAGAATAAATATTATTTTTCTAACCTTTTTTCCAATAATAAGAATTCCTTATTAAAAATCCCTTTCTTTTTGAATAAATCTATTTCTATATTTAAATCAAGTAAACTACAGGTACCTACTCGCAAAGCTTATAATGAGCGCAAGTGGAGAGGTTTTAGATATGATTTTAGGAATAAGGGTGTATAAAACTCTATTTCTTGTATAAAATATATTTATTCTTTTCTCTCTAATTATTATAAAAAGCATAACAAGTATTTCAAGTAGAGAAATATTTCTTTTTTTTGATACTGAAAGTGTATTATATATATTTGTATATTTCTTTTAATATATTTAAGATTTTTGATTATCCGGTTATTAGAACTTTATAATCCTGAGTTTGTAATACTTTCTGAAAAGGTATATTTTGATCTTTTTATATTATTATAATTTATTAATATATTTTTTAGAGAACTATCCCAAACCAGAAATCAGCCTATATTATAATAATGATTATATTAATAATAATTAAAAAGAATAATAAATTTATTAATCTTAATTCTCTCTTATTATTAATATAAGTTATATTTTTTTCCTTTATTTGATTATTATAATTATTTATTTATCCATTCTTTTTATCGAAATCATTATTTTCCTTTTCGATTAGAAAACAGAGACTCTTTTTTACCCCTAAATTCCTTGCGACTAAGTATACAAAAATCGAAATACAAGACTTTACAATAAATCTAAAGATTTGATTATAACCTGCTTGTTTTGCTTTAAAAGATAAAGATAAGATAGTATTTAATATTAATAATAATAATGATTTTGATAATAAATATAATATTATTGAAAAGAATAATATAATTAATTCTAATAACAAGCTAATTAATAAAAGAAAACAAATTGATTTGATAAAACTCGATTTTAAATATACTAAAAGAAAATATAAAATAAAAGGAAAAATTCCTATTTGATTTTATTAATCCTAATACTCAAGTCTTATAAATTCAAAAAGAATATAAAGTAATTGAACTTTTGTTATAATAAGTTTTTAATTAATTTATTTACTATCATCTTTATTATAAGCAAATATATAAAATAGAAACTCCCTTTTGAATATTCTTAATATAATTATATATTCTATATATCAATATATTTTAATTTAATAATAATTCTTTTGTTTTCTCCTATTATTAATTTAATTGTTTACTAATTATCACAGAAAATTATAATTGATTGTTTGACTATAAGATTAATTTTCTTAAGGAATTGTAATGTAATTAATATTTCTTTCAATATATATTTAACACCAAATAATTCAGCTTTAGTAATAAATATAATAACTATATCTTGCCTTAAAGCTTTTTATATTATTAATTTATTGAATAATAAGATTATAAAATCTTAAAATAATTTTTGTGATTCTTTATTGTTAGTAAATAAAATATCTGAAAAGGATAAAAGCTATAAAATCTATTCTTAACTATATCTAATTAAATAGTATTTTATATTCCAAAAATATTGTATACAATAATCAATTGCTTTTATATAATCCAGAGATAGGTTAGTTAGAAAGTAATTGAATTGCAAAGCTGTGAATGTAACATCTACTCTAACTGTAATTATAATATATAGTATTAATTTTACCTTCTCTTAATAAATTCATATAAATGTAATAGTTATACTTCCATTATATTTTACAAATTTTATTATTAATAAAGGAGTATATATATTACCATTATTAAAATTAAACTTTTTTATAATTTTCTTAATATAGATATCATATACTAACCAAAGTTTTTTCATTTTCTAATTACAAATAATCTGGATATTCAAAAACTACTCTATATCATCTAAATCTCTTAGTTCGTAGGTAATCTTGATATTAAAAATGATATTATTAGCTATTAATATATTCTTATAATAATATATAATTTATATATTATTTATAAAAAATAGTATTAAAATAATTTGATTTAGATTTATAAAAAGATAGAGTTCCTTTTTATATTAATTTAGATCTAGATTTTTAAATATTTTATTAAAATCTTTGAATTATAATATAAGAAAATCTTGGAAATTATATAATATATAATCAAGAATTATATATTTATTTGATTTTTTAAATCTATTTGATAAATAATAAACTACAAATATACCTAATAGATTTTTATAAATATTAACAAATATATTAATAATATTAAATTACTTTATTTCCAAATTATATTTTGTTATTAGTGCCATTACAATTTTGAATAATTTTCTAGTAAATATCGTAGTATAAGTTAATTTGATTGTATTTTTCACTTGAAGATCACTACGAATAACTAATTTTGTTCAATATTGTTTTAAGAATTCTTACTTATTGTATTTATATATAAATATTTATTATAATGATATAAAAATAATTAATATATTTTATATATTGATTTTATACTATATTTTACAATCTTTTAAATTATTAATTTCAATCTTATATTTATATTTAAATTATTTTCTTAAAAAATAATTCTTGAATAATAATAATATTAAAATAATTTGGATAATTTTAATAAATATAAGTTAAATAGTTTCTTTAAAGCTCCTTTCTTAGGTATATTAAAAGGGCTTAATTTTATTTGTATAGTGGAGACGATTATATTATATATGGTAATAAATAAATGAATATTCCCCTATATATTCATATTTGAATAACTAGACCAAAATGTTGAATAAAAATCTTCAATACGGGAATTACCTTCCAGCAAT